ATGAAGCTCGAGATCAAAACTGGCATTGAATCTCTCAACTACTTGCCTTGAGGGAACTGCAACCACACTGCCGCCAATTTCGTAGCGACTTGGCTGCACTGGCTGAAGCGAGAGTGATTTGAATCCTTTCAAACTGGATGTCTGCACTGCCCAGTCTCCCTAGCCACGCATCTTGCAAGGAGATTCAGTTTCCATGTGTGCGATTGCCTTGTGCTATTTGTTGCTCACTCCCATGATGTCAGGTCTGCAATGAATCTCCGTGTCCGAAGTTTCACTCTTTGCATTGGAAGTCCTGCTAGGTCTTTCCTAAGTCATCAAATTGATTTCATTCACAAACTCAACAAAATCAACAAATCTACCATGAGATGACGTTCTTGCAGACACTTGCGGCACAAATGTATGCTTTCCTTTGCATTCTTTCCAGTTGACCGAGAAGTGCTCCTGTCTCACCACGACGTGCTCTCAAAAATCCGATGTGGAGGTTGCGCGAAAGTTATGGGAGGGTTCTCACAAGTTAGTGGAAAGTAGCATGTTTTTCATAGATACAGATACAACAAGACTTGATGATTCAATGTTCCGGCCCTAAATTTGTTCTCACTTAAGGAAGTAAAATCATAAGGCTTGGGCTGGGGGGGGCCTTCGTTTTGATTCTGTCATTCGCGAAAGTGTCTTTGTTGCGAAATCCGAGCTGTACATAGCTGCATAGTTGTGCCATGTTGTGCCACGTTCAGATGTTGTCCGTCATTCAAGTCTTCAAGTTTTGAGCAGGATGGTTCAGCAGAGTTTCTTCTTGAATCACCATATGAGACCGCATTTCCTTATGAATTTCCTCCGCTGCTTCAGAAAAAGCAGTACTATGTAGAGGTCAGAGCATTTCCAATCAGAAGCTATGACAGCATCAGCCGCAAAGAGCTACAGAGAGATTACTCAGAATATCGAAATGATGCATCATCAGATTTGCCTTTTAGGATGGGGAATGTGGTCCAAGAACAAAAGCATTGTGACGTTCCACCGCATCTCATGTTGCGCAATGCCGGTAGTTCTGCTTGGTGTTGGAAGGCCTAGATTTCAAGACGGAATTGCGGTTTGCAAAGCTTGCAGTTGATCCTCTTGTGATTTCGCAGCCAAAATCATCGTTGTTTGCAGCGCCGATTGATTTCCCACAGAGCTGCATGACGTTTCAGCGGCAGCATTCATCACCGAATCAAGAGAGCCATCGAGCCACCAGGCCTTCTCCCTGTGCCCCACGAGTGTGGGGAATTTAATCATATTGAATCTAGTTTGTGCATGTTTGTGCGATTTCACCCCTGAGCACTGCTTTGACTGTTTGACTTGCCGGCAGTTGTGGACCATGGATCAAGTTAGTTATGGCCATCTCTGTGCAGAAAGTAGACAAGCTCCCCTTCTAGACGTGCAAAAGTAAAAACGTATCAGTTGCCTAAGATCAAGACATCAGCTCTGCAGACATGCTAAGCCATCCCCCATGGTCTTTTGGATATTTTGGGCTGGTTCTCAGCAAAATTGTCACACAGTCCAACGCCATGCGTTTCAGTTGCTTGGTGTTCTTGCTGACCTTGTGGGATGCCTCAACTGAAGATGAGATCTCATGGTGCTTGCGTGCAGGCTCTCTGTGCCACGGCAACAAGTGGACTTTGAAAGCAGTGGATCAAGTTTTGCATTACTTGCCTCTGTCTGACCTCTACCCGATGCGGCTGGCAGACTGGGACATGGACGGTGATTTGGATGCTATTGTGCTCATGGAGGATGGCCTGTGGCTTTTCAAGATGATAGCAAGGGGACAAAACTTCTCCGGTCCTTTCCTGTTGAACAACTCAGCCTTGAATGTGAATTACAACAGCTATCTGGAGGTCGCTGACTGGAATGGGGATGGATACCCAGATATCCTTTTCGCAGAGCAAGTTCGCACAACCTTGGGACCCTCGGGATGCACAGATGGGAAAATCCGATATTTTGAGCAGATGCACTTGGACTCCGAAATGGTTCTGCAGGAAAGAACGGGATCCAACAATCCCTTCGATGTCATTTCAGTTCCGTGCCCGGATGGCTACACCACTCTTCAGCTTGCAGATTGGAATGCAGATGGAAAGCCGGATCTCTTTGTTTACAGCCCTCGACTCGTCAAATTACGCTATTTTGAAAACCACCAAGGGCAGTTGTTGGAGGCAACCCATAGGCCAGGCAGGGTCTTTCATGTTTCGATAGAGAAGCGGATTCTAGTAGAGCTTTTAACTTCAGTCTTGTATGGCCTGACTCCCATGAATCAAGAGCTCATTTTTTGTTGGCATTGAAACATGGAATGGTTTTGGAACCCAAAATCCAGTTGGGTTGTTGGTTTGCTCTTCGGGCAGGTATTTCCAGGACCTGGATTTCAGCATCGGCAAATATGGTTTCGTGAAGGAAGTCCAACTGACCGATTGGGATGGAGATGGGGACCAGGCAGGGGAGCAAGGGGGCCATGAGGGATTGATGGGTTGTTTTTGGATCGGGTTTCTGTGACTTGGACGCCAGGACATGATCCTTCTTTGCAAGCGCTGTCGGGGTCCTGCATGTAAGGCGGCTCTGAATTACCTCGAGCAGCTCGCTGATGGCACTCTGCTGTTCATTCCTGATGGCTGGTGGCGCAAAATTTCGTTGCACAGTGATGCTGGCCAGCCGTTTCAGATGGTTGACTGGAACGGGGATGGTACCTCAGATTTGACAATCTCCGGTCGAATATTTCAAAGAAACTTTGCCGAACCAAGCTTCACTCAAAGAGAAGGGGTCCAGAACCCCTTTGGAGGCCTTGCTTTTTCCGATGGGGAACCTCACCTAGTGGACTGGGATGGGGATGGCGACCTTGACTTGTTGGTGGTGGAGCGATACAACTCGACCCATCCAGTCATCCGCATCTTTGAGCTTTTGGCGAACGGTGAGTTAGTGGAAGCAGACATCAAATACGATCATATCCCTCTAGTGCAGAATGGCCAGAGGAGTGGCCTGTACTTTTTGGATTGGAACCATGATGGCGATGTGGATTTGGCTGTAGCTGGGTGGCAAAAGATGTGTCGGCAAACGTAAGCCACGCTACGAAAGTGCCAGAGGCAAACCAACAATAGGCAGTAGTACCGCACAAGGCAGTGGCGGAAGTTTCAAAAATAGGAAACCTATAGGAGAGATTGGTTGTTGTGAATCATGGATGGCAGCGCGAACCCACTGGTGGATCGAAAGGTCGTTGGATTGCCGGGCTATCTATCTATCTGTCTACCTGTCTATCACTCTATCTATCTTTCTTTCTTTCTATCTATCTATCTACCTACCTATCTGTCTATCTATCTATCTGTCTATCTATCTATCTATGTATCTATCTATCTATCTATCTACTGTATCTATCTATCTATCTATCTATCTGTCTGTCTGTCTGCCTGTCAGTCTGTCTGTCTGTCTGTCTGTCTGTCTATTTCTCTGTCTATCTGTCTATCTATCTGTCTATCTGTCTATCTTTCTATCTGTCTATCTGTCTATGTATCTATCTATCTATTTATCTACCTGTCTTGCTATCTATCCATCTGTCTTTCTATCTGTCTACCAGTCTATCTATCTACCTACCTATCTATCGATCTGTCTATATGTTTGTCTATCGCTCCATCTATCTATCTATCTATCTATCTACCTATTTATCGATCTGTCTATATGTTTGTCCATCGCTCCATCTATCTATCTATCTATCTATCTACCTATTTATCGATCTGTCTATATGTTTGTCCATCGCTCCATCTATCTATCTATCTATCTATCTATCCATCGATCTATCTATCTATCTATATATATATATGTTTCTTTATTTCTTTATTTCTTTCTTTCTGTCTTTCTTTCTGTCTTTCTTTCTATCTTTCTATCTTTCTATCTTTCTAGCTTTCTAGCTTTCTAGCTTTCTAGCTTTCTAGCTATCTATCTATCTATCTATCTAGCTATCTGTCTATCCATCTATCTATCCATCTATCTATCTAGCTATCTATCCGTCTATCTATCCCTCTATCTATCCCTCTATCCATCTCATCTATCTAATTTATCTCATCTATCTGTCTAATCTCATCTCATCTAATCTAATCTCATCTAATCTAATCTAATCTAATCTATCTATCTATCTAATCTAATCTATCCCTCTAATCGATCCCTCTAATCTATCTATCTGTCTATCTATCTATCTATCTATCCATCTATCCATCCATCCATCCATCTACCTAATCTTTTCTATCTATCTAATCTGTCTAATCTATTCTATCTATCTAATCTTTCTAATCTATCTATCTATCTATCTATCTATCTATCTATCTATCTATCTATCTATCTATCTATCTTCCTATCTATCTATCTATCTATCTATCTGTCTGTCTTTCTTTCTGTCTTTCTTTCTGTCTTTCTTTCTTTCTATCTTTCTATCTTTCTATCTTTCTATCTTTCTAGCTCTCTAGCTATCTAGCTATCTATCTATCTATCTACCTATCTACCCATCTAATTATCTAGCTATATTTCTATCTTTTTGTCTTTCTCTCTATCTATCTATCTATCTATCTATCTAATTAATCTATCTATCTATCTATCTATCTATCTATCTATCTATCTATCCCTCTATCTATCTATCTATCCATCTATCTTTCTATCTAGCTATCTATCTATCTATCTATCTGTCTTCCTGCAAGCTTGAAAACGAAGCTATTCTGCGGGACGCCCTCAATTTTTGAAGTTGACAACATCAAAAACGAAGCAATTCTGCGAGACGTCTGTTTTTTTCCAACTTGACAAGGTTAAAAAAAAGAGCAATTTTGCGAGACGTTCTGAAGTTTGGAAAGTTGAGTCGTACCAATGCGTTTTGCGATTTTTCCACTCCATCTGTCTAAAGTACTGCGCTTGCCACGAAATAGAAGCCAGGTCATACGAAGTGCTGCACCTGTCACGCAAAATCACGTTAGCAAACCTACAGGTCTGATGCTCCGAATTGCAACCTTTCTCAGGAAATCAACGGAAATCAACGCCCTGACCTCCTAGTACTCTGATGAAAATGTCTCTTGTACTGCGCCTGCCACGCGACATGCATCTTTGCAGATCCTCCTCAAATGTCCCACGCCTGCCAATGTTGTTGAAAGTGTCGCAAAATCTTCACCTTTTGCTCACTTTGGCAAGGTGCAGAATCCTTTGCGTGCCACACAAAAAATTCCAGAACGGCAGCCCTTGGGAGTGCAGTTTTCCCATGATCTAAGATGATTTTTTGAGATGTTTTACGGATGTTTTACTGCACTCCCAAAGGCACTTTGACAGCTTTGCCTGTGATTCATGCCAGTTTCCTTGCAGCACCCCACGCTTGGGAAAAACCTTGGAAAAAACCCTGCAAAAATTAAGACTGCGCGTTCCAATTTTGAAATGTTCGGCCATGTCCTAGATAATAGCCTTAGTTTTATGCTATACTCTTTGTAAAACATGTTGCATAAATTGGTAGTACAATTTGCTGAAGTAATACGACCATCTTCTCAAGCATTATTGCATCATCGATGGAATCTGCTGTAGACTCATGTTACACTTTCTGGGAGGGATGCTACACAGATTTGCCAAGAAACTATTCACTGTCAAAAGTAGATATACATATACAGTGTGTGCATCTTCAAAGGAAGGCTTTCCTTGATTGACACAGATTTTGCACAGTTTGCAATAATATAACATTTTTTCGAGCAAATGCTGCACTGGTTTGAAAGAGATATTGTAGGTAATTGTGCTACTGCACTCTTTGCATAGGCATGTAGCACTTGTTTACATTGCCATAATTATATCTGAATAAGTTTGCATTAAGATTTATGATTTATAATTACAATGCGTTTTGCATTGTTGGAAGCCATATTCTACTTTGGAAACCAAATAAGATATGCTGCACTCTTTGGAAAGGCATTTCTTGCAGAAGGTGGTGCAATACTTGCTTTACAACAAAAAAAGACATATTTTTAAACAGGCTTTTGCATCATCAATGGAATCTACAGTAGGCTCTTGCCACACTTACAATAATGCTGCACACTTTGCAAACAAGAATCTGCACTTTCTAAGGTACAACACATGTTTCAATGAATGTGTCAGCAAGATGGCACTCTTTCCAAAACCATGCTGTGGTAATTCAAGAATAGATTCAATCTTGCAAAACAGCATGTTACATTTTCCTACAGGACTGCTATGTCTTCTGAAATCATCCAGTACATACATAGGAGGGTTCCCCTTGAAATTGGGAAGTAATGCTACACATCTTTGAAAGAACGCATCAACGTTTGCAAAAGGTTGTGGCATACATGGAGGAATGGCGTTCTTTATGCACAGTCATTTCACAAGTAATCTTTGCATTTTTTGGATACCATTATTTTCTATAGAGAACATATTGCATAAATTGATGCCTGTTTAAAATGCACATGTTTTAAATGCTACTTATCTTTCAAACAATGCCACACTTTTTGCAAAGGGCTGTTTGTTACATTGAGGAATGGTATTCTTTATGCAAAATCATTTTACAAGTGCAGTTTGCAAATGTATTTTTCCCCACATTGACGTGTGGGGTTTTTGTTTTTAGTTCTGTATCCGCTCCGCCTTCCTCCTCCTCCCGTCCTCCTCTCCGTCACCACTCACTCACACACTTGCTCAGAAACATCTTATCGAATTACTGATGTGGAATGCATCGGACGTGCAAAGACAACACAGTTAAACCTAACAGGAGAAATGAAAAAAAAAATATATATATATATATAGGACTACGGTGGCCACCAGCTGCGACTTATAATTGCGCCCAGGTGCACCACCGAAGTCCTGCAGGTACGTTTACACGGGTCCCGGGGAAGTGTCTTCGTTGGTCACCGACCCCCCCGGGACCCCGGTGACCCCCTGCAAAATAAGAAGTTTTACATCTATTCAGATGGTACACACACACACGCCCCGCAACAGCGGGGCAGATGAGATGAAGATGAGAATGAAATGAAAGTGAAAATGGAATGAAAGTTACCTAACCAGGACGCGAAGAGGGGAACGCAAGAGAAGAGGGAAAGAGCAAACACCAACACAACACACCTAGCCCGAAACGGGCAAAACCCTGAAAAGGCAAGGAAAAAGAAAAGCGAAGGCCGACGGACACGCAATCAGACCAGCGGAGGAGGGGGAGGACGGAAGCGCCTGAACCAACCTAACAAAGCGAAACCTAAGCCTACCTCGGCACGCGCAGGACCCAACCTACCTGAAGGGAGGAGAACGCAGAAACACATGAGAAAGGGGACCCATGGGGACTAGTTAGAAAAATGATGCAACCACAACTCATGCAAGATTCGTGATAAGGCTCAAAGGCCCTCGGTATTCAAATCAACCCCATCGACGGCTGTCAGTGTTCAAATGAATTACGTGCACAATTGAACCTCACCAACGACCATAAAAGAAAGGAGAACCACACCTAAAGCATGTCCTGAGACCTCCAAATGAATCCATGTCATGATGCATCTTGTCTGTCAAGCTCTCGAGCAACGTTGAAAAACGGATGTTAACGTGGCTGCCAGCTATGCAGATCGGTAAAAAAGGAATCCCCGAGACAGCGGGACGCTGTTCAACACTCGACCGACGTGTGAAACAATGAAAAATGGCCAGCAGTTCACTCTACTTAAACGAATTACTAATTCAAAAGTGTAAATTCAGACATCGTTTTACCGTCAATTCTTAGCCTAGAAAGGCTTTCCCCGAAGGGCTCATACCACCTTGTCGGACAACGGTATGAGTGACACACTTGCTCAGAAACATCTTATCGAATTACTGATGTGGAATGCATCGGACGTGCAAAGACAACACAGTTAAACCTAACAGGAGAAATGAAAAAAAAAATATATATATATATATATATATAGGACTACGGTGGCCACCAGCTGCGACTTATAATTGCGCCCAGGTGCACCACCGAAGTCCTGCAGGTACGTTTACACGGGTCCCGGGGAGGTGTCTTCGTTGGTCACCGACCCCCCCGGGACCCCGGTGACCCCCTGCAAAATAAGAAGTTTTACATCTATTCAGATGGTACACACACACACACATCACTGACTCACACACTCACATCACTCACTCACTCACTCACTCACTCACTCACTCACTCACTCACTCTCACTCACTCTCACTCACTCACTCACTCACACTCTCACACTCTCACTCACTCACTCTCACTCACTCACTCACTCTCACTCACTCACTCACTCTCACTCACACTCACTCTCACTCACACACTCACACGCACATCACTCACTCACACACATCACTCACACACACTTGATCAGAACAATCTTAGCGAATTTTGATGTGGAATGCATCCTACGTGCAAAACACACTTCAGTAAACCTGACAGGAGTGGGTCAGTGACACGACCCCAGAAATTGCGACATGTTCCCTGTAAACAGATTGCGAAAACCGTACAGCAAAATGGCATTGAAGAGTGTCCTCAGGTTGAAGTTTGGTTTGAAAATTGTGGGAAAACGACATGCCGGTTCTGGGCTTAGCCGGTAGCCATGACAGTAGCGAAAAAAGAAAAAAGAAATCTGAAGCAGACCCTGAACAACAGGTGATCACAACAATGCAGGTACGTCCAGCTGGCCAAGCTGGATATCCCATTTCACTGGTAGCTTCGTTGGACACAGTCCCAGTGAAATGCTGTGTCCCCCTGCAACTGTTGGAATGAATCATGAAACGACCTACAAGCAAAAAGGAACCAGCAGTAGAAGTTTTACATCTATTCAGATGTTTCACACACACGCCCCGCTGCCGCGGGGCTTTTTTGGAAGACAGCAAGCGAATCGCTGAATGGCTCTGATCCAGTCCCTGGGACACTGACGGAGCCAAAACACAGGGAGTGCGAGACAAATGAATTAGTCCGAGAGGGGTTGAGAGACATCACTAAGGCCCTCAGCTGAGATCGTCCTAGATATCATCGTCCGAGATGCCAAATTCTTCTCCATACTCTGCCCGGGATGCCGCTCTTGCGAGTTCATTGGCAGTGATCGACAGATGGGTGCACATGTGCGAGAGCTCCGCCGAGTTCCACAACCGCGCCTGTGCGGTAGCATCTGGGTCACGAAGCCTTTCAAGGATCGGAGCATTGCCTTCTTCATCCTGCACCAGGATATTATGGAGAATTGCGGCCAGCTGATGGATCTGAACCGGTACAGGGGTGTCGTGGACCCCGGTTGGGCTGCCGTGGACATGGCATCTTCGTCCGGATGGTCCGGTTCATGATCGTCAGTGATGTCATTTGCAGGTTCATACCAGTCCCCATGATCGTGGTACCATGTCCCTGATTGGTCGTAGGGGACCTCCAGAATCTGGAAGTATCGCTTCCAGTAGTTGGAGATACGATTGGCTTCACGCCAAGAGTCAAGTGGTTCTCCAGACGAGTCACGTACATGACCCAAAATACCATGGAAGAAGAGCTCCGGGCGACGGGTTCTTTGGATCCCGTGTTGACACTGTTCAACCACCCGGAGTTGGTGTTCCGTTTGGTCACCATGGCCTCGAGATGCCATCTTGAAGACTTGGGTGTGAAGAACCTGGAGATCGATATCCGACATGGGGATGAAGGATTCCGGAGTATACTATCTGGTGCCCGAATCAGGCATCGGTGGAGCCGATGATGGTGCTGTCCATTGACCTGAATCATGGGAGGATGGTGCGATTGGCAAAAGAGGTCCCTGTACCGACGATGATGCCGATGATGAAGCTTGAGCGGGAGGCTGCACATGAGAGTAGGACGTAGAGTGGGACCACGGATCTGCACGAAGATCCCTTGGGGATGCTAGATTCGCACTGTCCGAGTTGCGTTTTGACATCTTAAACAGCTGAGGAAGAGGGGTGTTCAGGATGAAAAGAACAGAATGAAAGGGTTCAGTCAACAGCAAAAGACCAAGATTATACATGAAAGCCCTCTCAAGACAACACTGAGAAATGAGAGGAACGTGCAGGCGCACTTGTTTTGACTCATGGCAAATGGTTGGGGTTGGTGAGGGCCTTATGGCAGCTCACACGCATGATATAGGGGCTGTTTGCCCTTGCGAAGGGATTGATAGTGCGAAGGATTCCCGATTCTTGGGCGTTCAGCCAATGAGGTCGATATTCAGCAAGAAGGCTACCAATGGTCTGATGGTTGCGAAGGACGAATACATCGCCGGTGCAAGGGCTTTTGCATCAGCTGCTTCAGCTATTGGCCGCTACGTTGAGCGTCGCCCTTGGCCATGTGGCATTACTTCTCAAACGGTCAACAACCTGCAGAACACGTGGGGTCTCCCTCGTTGCGCTGGTCTCCCATGGAGACCCCTATTGCTTCATCCTGATGCTGTGGAAACCTTTTTCAATGCTGCTGGTAATGTGATCTATGCTTCAGATGCGGATTTCTTTAACCAAGAACCTCCTCTTTTGGTCCCATCCCGTGAGTCTTTTTGGGATGAGCAGGTGCGGCGAGTGCCAATTTATGTGCGCCGCGAAGAGCGTCGAGGTCATGAACATGTGCCGCAACTGCAATGGTGTATACAGGGCGACGCCTCCTCAGAGGCTGTTTCAGTTTCCACCAAACTCTCCAAAAAGGTCACCGATTGGATGAAAAAGCAAACGAAGGTGGCGGAGCATAATCGCACTGCTGCAGAACGGAAAAGACACTGGATCGTGCTCCCTGAGCCACCTGACCCTTCCTTGTCTGGTGATCAGTACGTACAGCTTGTGCAAGGTTTGAAGGTGCACTGCCTATGGTGCAAGCGTGAGAGATGCCTTTCTGTTTATGGTGCTTTCATGGACGTTACAAGCCCTGCTTGTTAAGGTTGAGTCTTCACTGCCTTATGGTGGCCTACTCTTGGCGTGCGAAGGGACTTCCTCTTGGTCGTCTCCATTTTCTACTGGTTTTGTTTTTAGGGGTGGATGATAACCCGTGCTCGGTTGCGTACATCCTCAACAACATCATCATCATCATCATCGCCGGTGTCGTCTTGCCAGCGTAGATCAATGGAGTCGGGAGACAAGATCACGCCCCATGTGCTGAAGATGTATAGTCTACAATGGAATACAGGATGGTCTCAACAGTAGTTTGACGGATTTGAGGAAGGGTCATGAGACGAGCATATGTAAACAGGGCTAGCTCTTCCGACGGACGGATGTTTGGTTCGAACGCCCTGGTGGTGATGTCCATGCATCAGATTCCAGTTCTGTGACGAGTTCCCTGGTTTGATCCAAATCCACCATAAGGAGAACCCTACGACGACAGTATGGTGGAGCACCTTGAGTGGGCTGTCGTCTTGTGGGTGGCTCTGGTGACCGCTGTGGGTCCGGTAATGACACAAAGGAGTCCCGAGAACGAGATCGTTCAGGGGGCATGGCGGATGAAGAAACGAGCAGCGAATTTGAGCCAAGTTAACTGACAGTGTATTATGGATGATAAGAGAACCAGTAAACTTCCCTGGTGAGACTTGGTGTCTGCACATAACGCCTTTTTTTGCCTCAAGGCAGGTAGCTAGGGTGAGGAAGTGCTTTGTGACATCCCATCCTCATAACATATGGGCTACTAGGTCCGCTGAATGGTACGTGGATTCGAAAGATGCCGCTTTCTTGGGCTCAGTTCCAATGAGGCCGATGGACACCTAAAAGGTATCCTATGGTCTGTGGGTTGCGAAGGGCAAAGACGTCACCCCCGCTGTCGGTCCACCTAAGGTCTATGGAGTCAATGGAAAGGGCAACGCCCCAAGTACTGAACATATAGTTGATGATGCCATGTAGGAGATCTTCAACAGTTGTCAGACTGACTTGACGAGGAGTCAGAAGGCGGGAGTAGGTGAACAGAGCCTGTTGTTCTGAAAGTCGAATGTTTTGATCAAAGGCCCTAGTTGTGACCTCCATTGCGTCGTTGTCCAGTTCCGTCAGTAGTTCACGGGTTGGTTCCAAGTCAACGAGAAGGAGAACTCGCCGTCGGGGCTGTGATGGCTGCCATGGACGACGAGGTGGAGGCTGTTGTGGCCATCGTGGGGTACGCAACCCCCGAGGTGGTACTCTGGTATCCCGGGAACGTGATCGTTCCGGTGGCATGGATATGGAAAAGAAACCCGAGTTTGAGCCGACACCTGAGTGGTTTTGCAATCGGGAGAATGAGACAACCTTGATGTGTTAAGCCAGGAAAGGATTTTTTCAATTACGTATTGGGTAGCTGAATTGCAGCACAGTTCTGAATGTGGTTCTGATGCAGCGCAGCCGCGTGCAGATATTTTCCTGTGATGTGGAATGGTTTGGTTATTCGGGGTCCTCTGCTTCCGGCTCAGGCCGCGATGTATTGGTGGTCGGTTTGATTGCCACCCATCGCAGCCGACATACTTCTGGGTCCCTGTTCAACCGACTGCCAATCGTCTTCCACGACCGACGAGATCTGGTGTCAGTCTTGTAGGAGATCAACTCTTGATCCTCCGCATCCGTCCATGGTTTGAATGGGATCGGAAGGGTTCTGGTTGGGTCAGTGCCGATGGTAGGGGCACCTGATTTTGGGACCGTTGGAGGGCCCATGGATGAATGCACGACTGGAGTGGTTCTAGCCTCGCCGCCCTCCCAATTGCTGCAGAGATTTCGCCTGACCTTGTTGTGCTAAAAGTCTCCGGACCTTCCCGGCCGACACGGCGCCTGGGCCTTCGGGGTCTGCGAGGTGCTTGCCCGGCAGGGGGCGCTGAAGTGGTGATAACCCAACTTTGCGCTGTGGTGAATCTGTTGGCGCAAGGCCGGGCGCCGGACTATGTGGCCCCTGTCCTAGCTGGAGCTGGCCTGGTTGCTTTACGAAAGCCCAATGCGGGCGTGAGGCCCATTGCGGTGGGTGAGATCCTCCGGCGCCTCACCAGCAAATGCCTCATGGCCCTGGTCCGGGATGATGCCCAAGCCTTCTTCTACCCAGCTCAAGTAGGCGTGGCAGTGCCGGGGGGTGTTGAGAAAGTCATCCACATTGTCCGGGCTTGGTGGCACCGTCATCAGTGCAGCCGCTGAAGTTGGACTTCGCCAACGCGTTCAATTCCATCCATCGTGATGCGGTCCTGCCTGCGGTCGCTGCACCTTTTCCCAGCTTGGCTCGGTGGGTGACTTGGTGTTACAGGCACCCCACGCGCCTCCAATTTGCCGACCAGGCTTTGGAATCGCAGAGTGGCATGCAACAATGCGACCCCCTCGGCCCTCTTCTGTTTTCCGTCGGCTTGCAGCCCATCGCTTCAGAGCTTCGCTCGTGCGGCCTCGATATCGCCGTGCATTACCTCGATGATGGCATCCTTGCTGGCGACGTTTCTGCTGTTAGCCGCGCGCTGCAACTGGTCCAACGAGTCCAACGCAAGGCAGGGGCCATCGGTTTGGCGGTCAACTTGCAGAAGTGCCAAGTTGTTGCTGTGGGGGCAGCCGACCAGGCCGGGCTCCATGCGCATTTCCCACACGCGCTCCTCCGCCATGGTTCAGGTCTCTCGCAGCTTTGAGCTGCTTGGGGTCGCTATTGGCAGCGACGATTTTATCCACCAACACACTGTTGAGCGGGACGCTCAGGCCGGGGACCTTTTGGATGCATTAGGGGAACTGCCAGATCCTCAAGTTGGCCTTCGCTTGTTGCGCGCCTGCGGTGGATTTGCGCGCTTGGTGCACAGCATGCGGTGCAATCCCAGTGTCCCGCAGCAGACTGCCTTAAGCTTGGACATGTTCGACGGCATGGTGCGCCGGAGTTTTGGAGATCTCACCGGCGTCCACCCCAACGGCCTACAGTGGCAACAGGCCGGGCTTGGTTTTGCGTATGGTGGCTTGGGACTCCGGTCCACTTCTGATCATGCCCCCGCTGCCTACCTTGCTTCCCTAGAGCCACCCTGCAGTCAGCCATTGACCTCGATGCCAGCTTCTGCTTGGACTCTGTTAAAGCCTCCCCTGAAGTTGCTGCTGCTTTGTCCTCTCTCAACAACCGCCTTCCCTCTGGGAAGGTTGTTACTTTGGAGACGGCCTTGGCTTCCACCCAACACGACCTTTCTCACCGCCTGGATTCTGCTATGGGATGAGCAGCTCTTGCAGGCCAGCCTTGTGAGTCGGGCGACCCTCCGCCCTGAGGCCTCGCAGGAGCCGGGCCTTCCTTACAGCGGTCCCCATTGGCAAAGCGCGGATGGAACCAGCCCTATTCGTGGCCGAACTCCGAGCTCGACTAGGTATTCATGACCAGGACACGTGGTGCCCGCGATGCGACGGGATCCTTGACCCTCACGGGTACCATGCTAGCCTCTGTGTCGCTGGGGGTGCTGTCCGCGACCTGGTGTTCTGTTGGGCGGAAAAAGGTGGGCTGCGCCCTGAACAACGGTCGACGCCCAGCTGACGCTGACGTGTACTTGCCGGCTTATGCCGGGTCCCCTGCCGCACTTGACTTTGCCATCACGGCTCCACAGCGGCAAGCGACCTTGGCACAAGCCAGCCACCAAATGGCAGCGGCTGCCACGGCCTACGCCCGTCAAATGTGCTCCGCGCCACAACGGCGTGCACTTTTTCATCATCTCAACTTCCAAAAATGGTCCGGCACGGAGGTATTTTGTACATTTTTACTTCGAAAGTTGCTCCGTGCCACAACGGCGTGCATTTTTTCTTCGTTTGGCGTGGCACTTCGTGACATTCAGACGTGTTTTGTAACGTGTCCAAAGTCGTTTTGTCTGGTGGGCGCAATACTTTTGCAACGTTTTCGCAAGATGAGTTGCAGTTTTCGTGGCAGGCGCAGCACTTTGGACGTGTCCATCGTCATTTTGCGTGGCATGCGCAGCACTTTAGACGTGTCGTGTTTTTACTCCACACTCCACACTTCGCACTCCACACATCTACACTCTACACTCCACACTTCACACTTCACACTCCACACTCTACACTTTAGACTCCACACTTCACACTCCACACTCTACACTCCACACTCCACACTTTACACTCCACACTCCACACACGACACATGACACTCCGCACTCCTTACTTTACACTCCACACTCCACACTCTACACTTTACAATCCACACTGCACACTTTACACTCTACACTCCACACTCCACACTTTACACACTTTACACTCCACACTTCACACTCTACATTCCACACTCTACACTCCACACTCCACACTTCACACTCCACACGCTACACTTTACACTCCACACTTTACACTCCACACTTTACACTCCACACTCAACACTTTACACTCCACACTTTACACTCCACACTCCCCACTTTACACTCTACACTTTACACTTTACACTCTACACTTTACACGTCACACTTTACACTCTACACTCTACACTTCACACTCCACACTTTACGCTTTATACTCCACTCTCTATCTACACTTTACACACTCTACACTTTACACTTTACACTCCACACTCTGCACTCCACACTCTACCCTTTGCACTCCACACTCTACCTTCCACACTTTACACTATAGACTTTACACGTCACACTCTGCACTCCACACTTTACACTATACACTTTCCACTCCACACTCCACACTTTGCACTTTACCTTTTACACTCTACACTCCACACTTTACACTTTACACTCCACACTCCACACACGATACTCCGCACCCCTTACTTTACACTACAAACTTTACACTCTACACTCTGCACTTTTGCACTTTGCACTCGTCAATCCACACTCCACACTTTACACTCCACACTTTACACTGAACACTTTACACTCCACACTCCACACTTTACACTCCACACTCTACACTCTACACTCCACACTCAACACTCCACTTTCTTCACACCCGGCACTTTGCACTCCACCCTTTTCCGGATTCCACAGTCTACAGTGCACTGGTACGGTAACAGGGGAAAAATGTAGACTGTTCAAATCACTTGTTCCCCACATTGACGTGTGGGTTTTTGTTTTTAGTTCTGTATCCGCTCCGTCCTCCTCCCGTCCTCCCGTCCACTCACTCACTCACTCACATACTCACTCACTCACTCACTCATTGACACACACTCATCACTCACTCATTGACACACACTCATCACTCACTCACTCATTCACTCACTCACTCACTCACGCAGCCAAGGGGTCGGATGTACGCCCTGGCGTCCCTTGGGGCTCCGCCTCTTTTGCGTGGCAGGCGTGGGACAATGTGCACTGCCAAGGGGTCGGATCTACGCCCTGGCGTCCCTTGAAGCTCCGCCTCTTTTGCGTGGCAGGCGTGGGACAATGTGCGCTGCCAAGGGGTTGGATGTACGCCCTGGCGTCCCTTGGGGCTCCGCCCGTTTTGCGTGGCAGGCGTGGGACAATGTGCGCTGCCAAGGGGTCAGATGTACGCCCTGGCGTCCCTTGGGGCTACGCCTCTTTTGCGTGGCAGGCGTGGGACAATGTGTACTGCCAAGGGGTCGGATGTACGCCCTGGCGTCCCTTGGGGCTCCTCTTTTGCGTGGCAGGCGTGGGACAATGTGCACTGCCAAGGGGTCGGATGTATGCCCTGGCGTCCCTTGGGGCTCCGCAGCTTTTGCGTGGCAGGCGTGGGACAATGTGCACTGCCAAGGGGTCGGATGTACGCCCTGGCGTCCCTTGGGGCTCCGCCTCTTTTGCGTGGCAGGCGTGGGACAATGTGCACTGCCAAGGGGTCGGATGTACGCCCTGGCGTCCCTTGAATCTCCGCCTCTTTTGCGTGGCAGCCGTGGCTGATTTTCCTAGCTCCGCGTGCTTGGGGCAACTTGGCTGTTCCGAAGCAAGGCATGGCGATTTATCAGCTCAGCTCACTAAGATTGATTGCTTGTGAGTTTATCATGGCTTGTTTTTGCATGCTGCGTCTCCTGAGGTCATGATGCTGGTCTATGCCACTTCGAGAACCACAACCACACACTCACTCACTCCCTCACTCACTCCCCCACTCATTCACTCACTCACTCATTCACTCACTCACTCACGCACGCACTCACTCACTCACTCTCACATCCCTCACTCACACAGACCACACTCACATCACTCACGCACACCACACTCACATCACTCACTCACACTCTCACTCACTCACCTGTACATGCACATACATACACACACACCCTCCCAACCATCACCCCTCCATCACCCCTCATCACTCACCCACCATCACCCCTCCATCACTCTTATCCTTCCTCTTCCCTTCTTGCTTTTCTATGCTCAGTCTAAGTCTAGAGAAGTTGGTAACATGTGGGGTTATCCGGTCCTATAATTTCACAAAAGTGTTCTATGTGACTGCATTCGGGTTCATGGGCTGCAGCTTGTTTTTTCCCCACAACTTTGTGTGGGGTTCTTGTTTTTGATTCTGTATCCCGGGCTCCTTCTCCTCCTCCTCCCGCCTCCTTACACATACAACAATAATTTAACACACACAAACTTCACATACAATAATTTCACACTAACTTCACACACACAAACTTAACATACAATAATTTCACATTAACTTCACACACACAAACTTAACATACAATAATTTCACACTAACTTCACACACACAAACTTAACATACATTAACTTCACACACACAAACTTAACATACAATAATTTAACATACAATAATTTCACACACACACAAACTTAACATACAATAATTTAACATACAATAATCTCACACTAACTTACATACAATAATTTCACACACACAAACTTAACATACAATAATTTAACATACAATAATCTCACACTAACTTCACACACACACAAACTTCACATACAACAATACAATAATTTCACACTAACTTCACACACAGCAGGCGTGGCACAACCTGACATCCACCTTCGTTTCACGTGGCAGGCGTGGCACAATCTCACATCTACCGTCGTTTTGCGTGGCAGGCGTGGCACAACCTGACATCCACCTTGATCTCACGTGGCAGGCGTGGCAAAATCTCACATCTACCGTCGTTTTGCGTGGCAGGCGTGGCACTCATGGCATGGGGTGGCGCGCTTGGGTGTGGTTTGGGCGCGCGGTGACGCCGCGCCATTTTGCGTGGCAGGCGTGGCAGAACGTTACATCCACCTTCGTTTCACGTGGCAGTCGTGGCACAAACTCGCATCTACCTTCGTTTCGCGTGGCAAGCGTGGCACTCATGGCATGGGGTGGCGCGCTTGGGTGTGGTTTGGGCGCGCGGTGACGCCGCGCCATTTTGCGTGGCAGGCGTGGCACAACCTTACATCCACTTTCGTTTCACGTGGCAGGCGTGGCACAAACTCGCATCTACCTTCGTTTCGCGTGGCAGGCGTGGCACTCATGGCATGGGGTGGCGCGCTTGGGTGTGGTTTGGGCGCGCGGTGACGCCGCGCCATTTTGCGTGGCAGGCGTGGCACAACCTTACATCCACTTTCGTTTCACGTGGCAGGCGTGGCACAAACTTGATCTACCTTCGTTTCGCGTGGCAGGCGTGGCACTCATGGCATGGGGTGGCGCGCTTGGGTGTGGTTTGGGCGCGCGGTGACGCCGCGCCATTTTGCGTGGCAGGCGTGGCACAACCTTACATCCACCTTCGTTTCACGTGGCAGGCGTGGCACAAACTCGCATCTACTTTCGTTTCGCGTGGCAGGCGTGGCACTCATGGCATGGGGTGGCGCGCTTGGGTGTGGTTTGGGCGCGCGGTGACGCCGCGCCATTTTGTGTGGCAAGCGTGGCACAACCTTACATCCACCTTCGTTTCACGTGGCAGGCGTGGCACAAACTGACATCCACCTTGGTTTCGCGTGGCACACGTGGCAGGCGTGGCACAAACTCGCATCTACCTTCGTTTCGCGTGGCAGGCGTGGCACTCATGGCATGGGGTGCGTGTCGTGTCTTCCATAGTTGCATTGACAACCAGCTACATTCGTGTTCTACACTTCTGCGGCCAGGTACCTTTCCTCTATGTCATCATCGTCGGATGCATACATACATACATACATGCATGCATACATACATACATGCATACATACATACATACATACATGCCTACGTACCATTTTACATACATACATACATACCTACCTACCTACCTACATACATACATACATACCTACCATTTTACCTTCTCGATCTTTCACCACCTCCTTTGTCTTTCCTTCCTTCCCTGTCCCCGCTAAAACCATTGAAGTTCATTTTAGGAAGAAGTTGACTTGTGGGGTTATCCGGTCCTTTAATTTTATCCTTCACCATCTCTTTTGTCCTTTCTGCTTTCTCCGTGCCGCTTCAACCACTGTTTCTGATTACTGGAAGAAGCTGACTTGTCGAGTTATCCGGTCCTTTGATCATCTCTCCTCCTGCCAGATGGCTCTGCACCCGCCGCTTTAGCAAGCCTACTTGTCAACCCTGCAGATCCACAAATCATTGGAGAAACACAGTGATTCCGGACTTTGCTTTTTCGCACACCTGCATCTTCTTTCTTCTGGTTCTTTTTCCTCTGATCTTCTTTCTTCTTCTTCTTTTCTCTCTCTGACTCTTCCCACCTCTGCTTTTTCATCTGTCCATATCGTTGGAAGTTTGGTTTGGCTTCTAAACGTCCTTCGGTGACTAGGGAGCCTGTAGACCGGGAAGCAAGTTTCAATGCCCACCTTGCATCATCAACACGCACTTTCACGCTAGGGTGATGTGTACTGTGCCTTGGTCGGGCGAAGGTCTTGACTACAGATGGACTTCTCCATCTCTTCGACAATCAGGAAGGAGTTCTCCACGAAGTACAAGAACGCCATTTTTTGCGCAATCGAAGTCTGGGGGCGATTTTCACCACCACCTTCCACCTGGTGGACTGGAACGGTGATGGCCATTTGGACGTGATCCTCGGCCCTCATTATTGGCGAGTGGCCTATCTGGAACAAGTCAATGGGACCCTGGTGGATCGCACAGGGCACCCTCTCTTTCCATGGACCCAGCTACCGGATTTCTCATCAGATTTGTCGTGGAAAGTTTTCGATTGTGATGGGGATGGAGGTCTTGATATCGTGAGATTCACGAAGTCTGCAAGGCAAAGTTCGTGGGTGAGGAGGCGAGGCCTGGCCGTCCGTTCGGTGAGGAGGTGGCGCGCGGGGAGGAGGCGAGCCACCCATTGGGATGCAGGTCCATATTTAGCATCTTGTTCGAAGAGGGGCGATCGATTCGTTTGCGACAACTCCTGTTTCGCTTCGCAGCTGCGCTCCACTTCCTTGGAAGTTGGAACTTGGGGCCACATCACGATTGGTGACTGGGATGGAGATGGTGACCTGGATGTTGTTAGTATCCGAGATGGTCACGAAAATTCCGTGATCTTTTTTGATCAAAACTTCTGCGTCCCCCCCACGCCTTGCAGTGGAATCGGAATGTGCCAAGCTTCTGGGAGATGTTCCTGTGGCAAGGACCGGGGCTTGGAAGATTGTTCAGGTTGCGGGGCATCCCACTACACGGTTTCCAAGCAACCCGCCCTTGACATCATCCATCGCTGCGCCCCGTGCCCCATGCCCAAGAACCAGGTCTGCGCTGGCAGAGGGGTGTGCGTTGATGACCTCTACGCCAAAGCTGTGGGTGATGCTTGGGATGTCGGAAATGGTTCCTGCATTTGCGCTGCAACATTTTTCAATGGGTCTGACCAGTGGTCCCGACAAACCTGTGCTCAGGGCACGTGCCCTGGTGGTTTTCAGGAAGTGCTTCTGCCTGCTGAGCACCTGAACCACCCACGCATAAAGACATGCTTGGCATGTGAGGCTTGCGATGCTGGGACTTTTGCCTCTCCCGGTGGACAATGTAAAAGTTGTCATCCAGGATATTTTTCTTCGCATGGCAGTCATTCTTGCAGCCCGTGCCCTGCAGGCAGCAGCTCGCGAACTTTGGGCGCAGTTGAATGCAGTCTATGTTCTGCTGGCACGTACGCACCATCTGGAAGTGCCGTGTGTCACCCGTGCGCAGAAGGCACCATCTCAGTGAAGGGAAGCGCCAAGTGTGAGCCTTGCAATTCGCGTAGCATTTTCTGGGTGCATGCGGACAATCAGAATTTAACTTGCATCCGGCCATCGGAGCAGTATTTGATACTTCTGCTGTTCTTTGCATCTTCGTCTGTTTGCCTCTTCTTCGTAGCCACTGCTTTGGCCTATCGCATACCTGTTTCTGACATTTCAACGCAGAACTATGATACGGTTGTAACAACCCATGGGGCTCATCGCGTATTGCAAGCATCAAGTGACGCTTAGCTGCGGCTTCAAAACCCAAACTTTTTGCTTGGTTCAGGTTTTTCTGTTGCTCGCCCCGCGGCGCCTCGAGAAAATTAGAGTGATGTTTGCATTAATGGGATTCTTGTTTTGACCGTTTATGGTTGCCATTCTTGAACATGCGCGTTCAAAAACCATGTCTTGTCAATGCTCATGTTTCGATGTAGTGTCAGATGAGGTCAGTGGCATCCAGGTTAAGGCCACCCACGTCCCTTCTCTGTCAAGCCCTTGCTTTGCAGAGTTCATCAGCGACGAACGCCTCAAGCTCTACAGGGATCCAGAGGTTCCTTGGATATTTGGACCTGCCTGCTCAGAACCAGCACGGTTAGGCGACCACTTGTGGCATCAAACTATTGGTTTGGGGATGGAGCGAGATGTTACAGCCTGAGCGTTGGATAAGAAGTTGAATCTGAAAGGTTGAACTCCAGACCCCCCAATTTTTGATATGAATTAGTGTGGATTTGCGCCTGTCTTAGGGCGAGCCGCCCTCAGATTTTTAAGGGTTTCTTGGCCAGCTAGTGGTTAGATCAGACCAATGATGCTTGAGGTATATGCTTCAGTTAATCTCACAGAACTATGAACTATTCTCCTTATCTAGGCGCAGTTTAATCGTCCATACCTTGGCTGGCGGCAGCGTGGTTTTGCAGCCTGACTCCAGCATAGCAACTCGGGCTACGCACAGATCACTTGTCAGCAGCTCCTGTCTTGTTTCTTTTCCCTGCTGAACGCCAAAAACAGCGTAGTTCGCTCATCTAGGCGCGGTTTGATCTTCCATAGCCGCAACTGGCCAGCATCATGGTCTTGCAGCCTGTTTTCCAGCATAGCACCCCCGGCTATGGATAGATCACCCGTCAGCAGCTCCTGGCTTGCGCCTTTCTAACCTTCAAGTTCTTAGTTCAGCATTCAGCTTGCAAAGCCTTGGAAAGGCATCAGAATCAGTGTCAGTAATTGTCGTCGGGTTTTCAAATTCTTTTACAGTGAGTTCTTATCAAAGGAATTTTCATGGAGGAAACTCCGAGTTACGGACTTTCACATTCTCACTAACCAAAGGTCATTGTGTCCAGTTGGCACGTGTGTTAAGAGATCATTGAGTCACATTCTCACTAGCCCAAAGATCATTGTGTCCAGTTGACACGTGCGTTAAGAGATCATTGAGTCACATTCTGACTAGCCCAAAGATCATTGTGTCCAGTTGGCACGTGCGTTAAGAGAACATTACGTCACATTCTCACTAGCCCACAGATCATTGTGTTGATTGGGCACCTGCGTGAAGTAGAGAAGAGGTAGAGTAGTGGTAAAGTAGGAGAAAGTTTTAGTAGAAGTAGAGTCGTGCAAAGTAGAGTAGAGGAGAAGAGTATAGAGCAGAGCAGAGTAGAATATACAAGAGTCGAGTAGAGGAGAGTAGAGTAGAGCAGCGCAGAGTAGAGAAGAACCGACTAGAGAAGAGTAGAGTAGAGCAGAGTAGAGTATAGAAGAGTAGAGAAGAGTAGAGTAGAAGAGTAGAGTAGAGCGGAGGAGAGTAGAAGTAGAGTAGGGGTAGAGGCACAGGTAAAGTAGAAGCACAGTAGGAGTAGAGGCAGAGGCAGAGTAGAAGTAGAGCAGGGGTAGAGGTAGAGTAGAGCTGAGCAGAGTAGAGCAGAGTAGGGTAGAGTAGAGCAGAGTAGTTGCGATTCTGATTGTGTTTTGCGAGTCACTGCTGGCAGATCGCAGCGGAACTGCTACATCAAGGATGCGATTTGCTTGTTAGGATTTGCTCAAAACATTGTTTTTTTTTGGGTAGACGGTTCCGTTGAGGACAAAAGTTGGCTCACGTGCGTGGCGGTTTCGGGTGTCGTCGCTTTAGCGCGGAATCATGGTCGATCTGCGCGCGCACTGCCACTGAGGTCTTCAAGTGACTTTTTCTCTTCTTCCTTTTGCAATTCAGCCTGTGCAGGTCTTAGTGAAATGGCTGCGCCAAGGCTTTTCGAAGGGTACTTGTTCTTCAGTAATGTCTTGCGATTCTGATTGTGTTTTGCAAGTCACTGTTGGCAGATCGCACTGGAACTGCTGCAGCAAGGCTGCGATTTGAATGTTAAGATTTGCACGAAACATTGTGTTTTTTCCTGCTTTTGTGTGGCAGGCATGGCACTTGTGGCACTCGGCTGGGTCCGGCCAGCCGGCTCTACACACAACGCTTTCACACACAACATTTTCACGCGCAGCACTTTCACACACAAGTCTTTCACGCACTGCTCCGTCACACACAAACTTGAAAGCACAAACTTCAACACGCAACCCTTTCACCCACAAACTACCACACAGCTCTTTCACACACGGCTCTTTCACTCGCAATTCTTTCACACACAACACTTTCACACACAATTCTTTCACGCACAACACTTTGACACACAACTCTTTCCCATACAATTCTCTCACACACAACTCTTGCACACACAGCTGTTTCACATACACAACTCTCACACACACAACTCTTTTACACACAACTCTTTCACACAACCTTTCACACACAACTTTGTCACATACATCTCTTTCATATACAACTTTTCATACACAACTTTGTCACGCACAACTCTTTCACACTCACAACCCTTTAGACACAACTTTGTCACACACAACTCTTTCACACACAACACTTAAACAAATGTCCCGCCAAGAGTGTCCCACAGCAGCGTTTTGCGCGACTGTCCCGCAAGAATGTCGCAGAACACAGTGCCTTCATTCAAAGAATGTCTGAGGGACGTCTCAGAAGAGGGTCTCGAAAGAGCGCCTCCGTAAGGAGTGCACAGCCTATCCTCAGCGACGTATTCTTTTCGCAGCTACCACTGCTTGAAAGCTTGGAAGCAGCAGGTACTTTCTTTCAGCCTGTGCGCATCCGGGTCCATGGATTCCATCATGTGTTCCAAAGAAGAACAGTCAGCAGGTGGCTGCCATCAGTACAAAAACGTTGAAACGGCAGGACTGAAATAGGTTCCGTAGAACAATGCGGGCCGTAATAGCAACAAGAACTATATGCAACAGCAACAAGGGCAGCAAGAAAGGAGAAAGGTCCTAGGTACTGCTGTCAGGGTAGTGAGGATGCAAGACAGCCAGGCTCGCTCACCCTTGCAAGAACAACTAAGGTTGGCGTCGTTAAATCAGCCGAATCATCTGTCGGGTGGATAGTCCTGGGTGTGGGCAGCGCGCTGCGACACACTGGCTACCTCCAGGCGACGGTCTTGAAAGTAGAGGGGTGGGCCGGGTCAAAAAGAACAACCCAACACATGCATGGCATGATCAAATTGCTGATCATCAGGGGCTTGACCCCATCCATTCACATTGCGCCATTCTTGCCAAAGCAGAACAGTTCTGATGTCGTGCTTTGCCCAGGCGACAGACTTGTAAATTGTTCCTTCGTTATTCCTTCGTTCTTGTGGTGTGGAAGGTGGCAATGGAAAGCGTTTTTACCTAGACTAGGTAGCCACCTGCTTCAAACAGCCAAGCATGCTGGGAACCAAAGTTTGAAGCTGATTGAGGGCATCGGGCGTCGCTTTTGGCACAGGTGCCTCTGATGATTTGGATCACTGCTTCCCTGGCATCCGCTATCCTCGCTGCAGCGACAGGTTTGCTGACACCTGTGACTGCTGGGTTGGCGTTGCTAGGCCAGAATTGGGGAAAGATTTGCAATTTCTAAACCCACTCATCTTCATTATCCTTTTGCACACACGAAGACAGGGTTTGCTATGGCCAAGACATTGCTGCTTCCAGTAGTGACTCAAATTTGCTCGCTGCTTTGTGTGCTCTCCCACTGAGGTTATTCTGCGCTTTTCTTGTTGTGGCCGGCCAGCACCTATGCCAACGATTTGCTGACATGCAGACCCCAATCGCCAAAAGCAGACAAGTATTTCTGCAAAAGGTTAAAAAATCAAAGGTGCAAAAACGGGTCGATCGGGGAGCAGCACGCGGAGTTGGCTACATGGATTTGCTATCCTTCTACAAGTTCTTTCAAAGTTTCATACGGCATCGCTCTATGTACTATGTGGCTTCCAACCTTGTCGTGCCACTGACACAAGAAAATCAATTATCGTTTGCAGAGTTGGTTGGACCAAAGCGATTGACTTGGTTTGTTAGCCATTTTTGGGGCATGGCGGTGCCACATTTCGTGGAATCCCTTCAACACCATGCGGTGCAAGTTCAGGATTCCATGCGGGACAACTTGTCCTACTGGGTGTGCACCTTTAGCATTCGCCAACATGGCCCAAGCGTTGTGCAAGAAGAATTGGGCCACGGAGTCATTGAACACAGTTCATTTTACATAGCGATGTGGGATGGCAACTGTTGCGGAACTGCATTGGTTCTAGACACACACGTGTCACCGCTGCAGCGAATCTGGTGCTTGTTTGAGCTTTTCCAAACCTTCCGCCATGAGAGAGACGACAACAGAGAAGCGAATTTTCAAGGCCTGTTGCTATGCACCTCAACTGGTGTTCTTTCAAAGGGCGCGGGTGGCACAGACGTGTGCATGGCAATCGCAAGCAAATTAGCATGTCTCGACCTGCAGGCCGCCGAGGCCACAAGTGAGGACGACAAGCAATTAATTTTTGAATTGATTGAGAGATCCGGCGGCTTTGCATCAATGAACGCATGTGTACGGGAATCTATCCGCCATGCTCTACTCAAAGTTTACAGCCGCTTTGAGCGAGATTTTTCAAAGTTGGTGGATGCCTTAAGCATAAGTGGCACTTCCACTTCAAGCAGTGGGCATCCCCCGCAAGATACTTTCTATGTTTAATACTACGCAGTGGCAGGTGGACAAAGGCACTGCAAAAGCCACATCTTCCACCAAAAGCGTGGGATGTTGACAGCTGCGTTAGAACAAGGCATTCCTTTCCCTTTCCCGCATTTTGTTCATGGTCTTGATTTGGTGAATTAATATAACATGCGGGGTCTGATGATGAAATTCTTCATTTGTTGCATGTTCTAAACTGTTTCAAGCTACGGATGGACCGCAGTGAAAATGTTATTTCCCAACAAATTTGGAGCCGTCCAACCAGCAGTCCATTAGATATATTTCGCAAGCTGTGTGCTCATCATTGCTGACAATATTTGTGTGGGTGCGTAGATTTAATTTTGCTCAGTTAAGGCTTTTCTCGTTACCGCCGCAGGTCGTTACTTCTTTGGAGCCTTTAGTACAAGCTTCCCGGCGCTGTGAAGAATGAAGCTATTACTAACCATATCGTCCCGCACACCACTAAATATGAAATATATCAAAAGTAATAAGAGGGCTGAACCCTGGTACCGCCGACCCCCTGAAAAGATGCTTGACAAGGCTTGGAGGTAGGGCGGTGTAGAACCAAAGTGGGAAACAACAAGGGGCTCGTCGAAGGCTTGAGGTAGTGTGGGCAAGCGCGGCCTGTAGAACCAATGATGGCAAAAGACTCTTGCAAGGTCGGGCAAGCGGGGTGCTTCGGAACCAAAGGCAACAAACGGCTTTTCCGACACCGTTAGGAAGTGGGGTTAGCAGCAGTTTCCAAACCCTATAGAAAGGAAGATTTTTGGGCGCTGAAGCTGCAACAGAGTTTCGCAACCTTTGGCGCAAAAGGCCAACCTTTGGCGCAAGGGCTGAAGCTGCAGCGGGCGGCTGAGCTCCAGCACGGGCTTGCAAAGCAGAGCAAGGGTTGAGCTGCATGGAGGCTTTTACAGGGAGAGGCGAAACGTGCAAACGGCATTTTCGAAACTCGAAAGAAAGGAGCTGAAGCTGCAACAGTTTTGCACCCTTGGGGGCAAAAAGCCAAGCTTTGGCGCCCTTTGGTACAAGGGCAAGAGCCGACTCGCAGGCCTGAAGATGCACGGAAGGTTGAGCTCCTGTGTGGGCATGCAAGGCAGCGCAAGGGATTACAGAGGACAATGACGGTTTTCTTCGGTGTGCGAAACGTGCAGAATGGCAGTGCCGAAAGCTTAAAAAAAGGAAAATTTTGAGATTGAAATTACAATAACTTTATGGTCGGTGATAAAGATGGGGCCACAACTAATGTCGCAGGCGCCGTCCCGCCTAGGCCACGGCTAGGCAGGGGTCGGCGGATTTCTTATGTTAAAATATATGTATAAAATGGAATATGTTTATATAAAATTGAATTGATAAACCGATATAGTGAAATATTAAAATTATAGTTAATTTGATTTAGTTTCTATATAAAATGGATACTGTAAAATATTTATAAATATTTCGAGTATATAATTCTAATAAAATACATAACTAACATTTGAGGTATGATATTTTTTATATTTGTTTATATAATACCAGTAGTACCGTATAAGCCGGTGGCAGAAGTTTCAAAAATAGGAAACCTATACGAGAGGTTGGTTGTTGTGAATTACGGATGGCAGAGCGAAGCCACTCATGGACCGAAAGGTGCTTGAGGTCTCCTCTTTTTCTCTCTTTTTCTCTGACTATCTACCTACCTATCTATTTATCGATTTATCTATCTATCTATCTCTCTCTCCATTTATCTATCTCTCATCTTTCTATCTATCTGTTTTTCTGCAAGCTTGAAAAGGAAGCTTTTCTGCGAGCCTCGAAACTTCCTCATTTTTTGAACTTGACAACATCAAAAACTCAGAAATTTTGGTGTTTTTCCTGACCTTGTGGGACGACTCAATTTAAATATATATATATATGTAAATACATATGTACATGTTTATTTATATATATATAAATGTATATGTATATATATGTATGTATGTATATGAATGTATATGAATGTATATGTTTATTTGTTTTTTATACATACATATATTTTTTACCATATATATATACTTCTATATACAGCACCCGACAGAATTATGGAAAAAAAAACGTTTTAATTTACAGGCGCCACCTGTTTATGATAGAAAAGTTACGAACCTTTTTTTTTCCATAATTATTTTTTTCCATAATTCTGTCGGTGACTGTATGTCCATCGATTCGCAATTTGAATGCATTTTAAGGGGGAATATTGAATTATAGAAAATATGTGTCTAAAGATCTGGTATATGCCCCTAAGTCTTCCATTGATATACAATTGCACCACCAAAACTCATTGTTGTACGTACATACATATGCGGGATGTATTCTTTTGCCAAGCCACCAATTGGGTTGATACTACATACTTGCATTTGCATACATATTTCCATAACCCCCAAAAAAAAGGGGTTTGAATTGTGGATCCATGACATGTCCAACAGGTGGAGCCCCAAACATTAATTATGGAAAAAATAATTATGGAAAAAATATTTATGGAAAAAATAATTATGGAAAAAATAATTATGGAAAAACCGGTCAATCTGCCCTAGCCCCCTGATTTTACAGGAAAAATCAATTATGGAAATAATGGCCACCTCCAAGAATTATGGAAAAAAAAAGGTTCGGATCACTTCCGGGATATTTTGAACCCTTATGGGGAAAAACCCAATTATGGAAAAATCGGACGCAGGCGCCGCCTGTCTAAGTTGAACGTTTTTTTTTCCCATAATTCTGTCGGTTACCATATATATATATATATATACGTATATATATGTATATATATGTATATATATATATGTATATATATGTATATATATGTATATATATGTATATATATGTATATATATGTATATGTATATATATATATATATGTATGTATGTATGTATATGTATATGTATATGTATGTATATGTATGTATATATATATGTGTATGTATATATATATATATGTATTTTTGTATATATATATATACATATATTTTTAAATATAATATATATATATATATATATTTATTTGTATGTAGAGATATGTATATATATGTAAAAATACACTGAAATATAACGCACTAGATTTATATTTATCATCACACATGTATATATATATATATGCATATTCATACATTGATATGTTTACAGTTCCTGAAAAAGAGCTCTATTTAAAGCTTAAGAAACTTTACACGAACCCTAAACAGACCCTAAACCAACCCTTATTAGCTACCAGTAGTGCTGGAAACCTATAGGAGAGGTTGGTTGTTGTGAATCACCGATGGCAGAGCGAGTCCACTGATGGACTGACAGGTGGCTGGAGCTAGTGCAGTGTAGTGTAGTTGTAGTGCAGTGCAGTGTAGTGTGGTGTAGTCGTGGTGTAGATGTAAAGAGCAGCTCTTACAGCTCTTACACACAGAAGCTTTGACACCCACAGAAGGATTTACACACAAGAGTTTATACACAAAAACTTTTCCACGGGCTTTACGCAAAGAAACTTTCCACACAGAAAGTTTTAGACAGAGAAGCTCACGCAGAGGAGCGCCAGCATGCTCCGCGGTCGCCATGTTAACTCATTTTTTTTCGCGCGAAAAGCTTGTGCGCCGGATGTAAGTCTAAATTTGCCTCAGTGTTTGACGTTCGGCTGTGATTTCGCGCGAAGGGTTGCGCCGGACGATTCAAAATCGCGAGCGTACTTCAGCTTTTGACCTTCGACCCTCATTTTGTGGGAAAGGACTGCGCCGCGCCCCTACAAATTCACATCCTACCGCGCATGCACGATCTCCGCAGAGGGTTGCCCGGGCACCACATGTTGTTGGACGTCCGACACGCACGATCTGCGCAGAGGGTCATGGTGCGGCAGGATGTTTCGATATGTTTTTCAATGGACGTCGCCATGCCGGAAGAAGAGCGAAAGATAGAAAAACCATGAAAAACCAACATATTTGTAGGTGTATTGTAGGAACTCCGAGGAGTTGCTCACTTACATGTCTGTATCTTCCTAAATCTAGGCGATGTTGATGACGTAGGAGATGATCTTAGATGATGTCGAAAATGTAGGTGGTGTAGAGGATGTGGGCCATGTAGACAATGATGATGATGATGAAGATGATGATGATGATGATGATGATGGTGACGATGATGTAGGTGATGTTAAAGTTGAAGCTGGCATCGCCTCCTGAGGAAAAACGTAGGAGCTTTCGGGAAAAGCTTTCGTGGGAGACCTCCGCCAAAAAATGGGAGTTCGAGTTTTGCAAAACTAAGGTTTCTTGCAAGATTCTTCCACAACTGACTCATATTTTTCAAGTATCCTGCTTTACTCTACTGTACTGTACTCTATTCGACCCTAATTACTTTAGTTTACCCTACTTTAGTCTGTCTACTTTATTCTACTATTCTATTCTGCTCTACTCTGCTTTACTTTCCTCTACTCTGCGCAAGTGTAAGTGTACCGTACTTTATTCTACCTTTTACTCTTCTGCTTTACGGGACTTATTTCTACGATGCGCCCCACTACTCTATTTTACATACTTTTTTACGCTGACTCTGCTCTTTACCCTCTACTCTAGTTTGCTCTACTCTGCTCTTATAAAATTCATTGTATTCCTACTCTACGCAATTTGATTCTCTTCTACTTTCTGTTGCCTCGCCCTGCTTTATTTGTTTTTTTTCCTACTTGATTCTCCTTTGTGCTACTCTACTCTATTCTACTCTACTCTCCTCTCCTCTCTTCCGTTTCCTACTTTCTTCTGTTCTAATTTGCTCTACTTTACTTTATTGTACCCTACTTTACTCTGGTCTACTTTCTTCTGCTTTGCGCTACCCTTCTCTATTTTACTCTATCCTGCTCTGCTCTCGCTCCTTTCTTTTTGTTCAACTTTACTTTCCCCACTCTGCTCCGCTTTATTCTTCTCCACTCTTTTCTGGTCACTCTACTTTCCTTTGCTCTATTCTAACCTTCTCTGCATGTTTTTCTTGTCCTTCAAACTTCTTCACCCGGCTTTATTCTGCACTACTCCACCTGCTCTATTTTCCTCTATTTTGGGATAGGCTGCTCTACCCTACTCTGTTCTACTTTACTCTACTTTTTTCTGTTTGACACTGCTTTTTCAACGTCAACATGGCGCTACTCTACTACACTCTACACTATTCTGCATCACTATACTTTACCTCACCCTATTATACACTACTTTATTCTATTCTCTTTTACTTTGCTTGACTTGACCCTGATGTTTTCTACTTTGTTTCATTCTACTTTGCTGTCCTCTCCTCTCCCCTCCTCTCCTCTACTCCACGCTACCTTGCCCTACTCTACCTTGTCTAATGCTGCTCCACTTTTCAACTCTGTTCTTCCTCTACTTTGCTCAACTTGATCTTTTGTTCAAATGCCGGTAGCACGGAAGTTGGTCTCCTAAACTTCCTTTGATGAAATGCGCGCCCCGTTTTGAGAGGATCTGCGATTTGCCAAGACGTGTTCTGAGTGCATCCACATCGCAGCTCCTCTCGGGCCTCTTGGATCAATTGAAGAGATGGCGGATGGCTCAGGAGTGAAGACACGCAAAAGGAATTGCAGCAGTGAGATGTGCAGATGTAATATGTGACATTGGAGTCTGGAAACACATTGACCCACCAAAGAATCCCCAATGCTCGGGGGATCCCCGGCAACGTCCACAAGCAGGAGCTGAAAGATGCCCTGGGCCCAAAGAAACAGGGCACTCCCTGTGCAAGCGCAGCGGAGTACTACGACTTTATAGTCAAGGTACCGACACCGCAGCTCAAGGAAGACACGTGCATTCGACAGGCTCGGTTATGGCAATGCTTCTCTTTTGTATTGTATGTATTTGCATGAGAATAAGATAGCTTTTGATTGCAATCATTTCTGTTGCTGTTTGAAAAGAATAAGAACAAGTTGAACTCTGAATTGCTAGTGTAGATTATGTTGGATTCTTGCCGGTATGTTCAACAAGGAATTCAACTTAGTAATGATTTTGAAATCTTTCCACGGTATCTCCAACATTTGTTTGCCTTTGGATTTCTTACATAAATAAAAAACACTTGTTAGCAAAAAGAATGATTTTTTCAAAACACTCTCCGGTGGAACGCCGAGGGCGCCCCCTCCTCGGACCACGAGAAGGCCTTCTTCTTTTTGGCGCACGGGTGCCATAGCGCGCTCGATGCGCCGAAAAAGGTCGACGCGGTCAAGGTGGATGAGGCATCTCGGCGCAGTGCGTTGCATTTTCTTCCGGCGAGGCGATTGCGGGGATCTTGGTTAAGTCCTCTATAAGGGGTGTCTGCATGATTTGGTACAGGCCCTTGCGAGAAGCTCTTGTGGAGATCCTGATCAAGTTTTCCCTAAGAGGCCCTTGTATGATCTTGTACGGATCCTTGTGAGAAGATTTCGCGGATATTCGAGCGGAATCCTTTGCAAGAGGTCCTTGCATGATCTTGCACAGCTCCTTCTGCGAAGATCCTGCGGAGATCCGGGTGGAACCCTCTCTTGTACAGGTGTTTCTGTGAAGGTCTTGTAAGGATCCTGCTGAAATTATCTCAAAGGTCCTTGCCTTGCATGATCTTGCACAGGTCCCTGTAAGAAGACCTTGTGGAGATCATATCGGCATACAGTTTTGCATGATCCTGTACAGGCCCTTGTGCGAAGACCTTGGCGTAATGTCCTGAGCGTGTCCCTGCGTGACTTGCGTAGGTCCTTCTGAGAAGATCTGTTGGAGATCCGATCGGAGATCCTGTTTAAATTCCTCCAAAAGAGGCCTTGCATTAAGACCTTGCTGATGCTTTGCATGATCCGGAACAAGTCCTCAACAGAAGATCTTGTGAAGGTCTTGGTGGGATCCTCGTTAAGGAATCCTTGCATCAAGGTCTTGCGGGCGCCATGTCTTACAGGTGCTTGTACGAAAGCTCTTATGGGAGACTCCTGGGAAGCTCTTCTATGACGATCTTGCAAGACCGCTCCAGTAGCAGCAGGTCCTTTCATGGCGATCTTGTGAGCTTTTGTCAAGGATCCCGGCACGAAGATCCTGGGTAAACTCTCTTACAAATCCCTGTGAGAAGTTCTTGTGGGGACCCCTGGTGAAATGCTGCCCGGGGCCTTTTTGCATGACCTTGTGTACTAGTATACGTCCTTGCGGGAAGCTTAAGCTTAGAGGTCCCGCCGCAATCCTCTAGGTGTCCTTGCATTTGGAGAAAATCATGTGGGAATTTCGTTGGATTCCTCATCAAGAAGTCCTTGCAAGTGCTTGTATGAATGCCTTGGGACAACTAAGGCAACCCGCGCCGTGTGGACCGGCTTGGAGCGGCGGAGGACATCCCCGCGCTTGCCGCTGCTGGTGGCAGCCGATCTCCAGACTGAGCACACAGTAAACAAACAAAGGCCCTTTGACGGCCTTGAGGTTGTGTCTAGCTGGGCTGAGCGCCATGCAGACCACCTCTGCAAAGTTTACTTGCCTGACCTTTTTTACGCCTGTCCAGACAGGCAGGGGAGGAGGTAGGCAGGGAATTCAGGGAGATGATGGCAAGGAGCGGGGGTCACGAAGCGAGGCCAACCCGGAAGGCCAACAGGCGCATAGTCTCCTTGTTGGGAAACGCCATGGGGGGGCGTGACAACCTGCTCAGGGCAGTTTTGGGCGGACAAGTCGAGGACTTGATCCGCGGAGTGACCCGCCAGACGAGGACGCGCCCGTAGCTCCCTGGTATCTGTAGCAGGTATTTCCTGAACCAAAAGCCTTGCATTGCAGTAGGCATCTTAAGCAAAATGGCTGGTGGCCTAGTGGTCTCTTACAGAGATCTTGCCGAGAGACCTCTTCGAAAGAGCTTGTTCAGAGATTTTGCCACAAGACATCTTATAGAGAGCTTGTGAAGAAGTCTTGCCAAGATACCTCTTCTAGAGACCTTGCATAAAGATCTCTTACAGAGTTCTTGCTAAGAGACCTATGATGAAGATCCCTTGTAGAGATCTTGCCATGAGGTCTCTTACAGAGACCTTGCTCAGAGATCTGTTGTAGTGAGCTTGAACAGAGATTTGTTTTAGATTTCTTGCAGGGATCTTGCCAGAAGACCTGTTAAAATAGAGAGCTTGTACAGAGATCTTGCCGAAAGACCTCTTCTAGAGATCTTTTGCAGAGCCTTGCATAGAGATCTCTTGAAGAGGTCTTGCTAAGAGGTCTCTTGGAAATCTTGCTGAAAGATCCCTTTTAGAGAACTTGAAAAGAGGTCTTACTGAGAGATCTGTTACGGGGATCTTGCGTGGAGATCCCTTGCAAATGACGTTTTGCAAGTTGTATACTGGAGCGCTTCAAGTTGACACTGCCGCGCAGCAGGAATAGGATTTCCTCAGGCAACCGGAAAAGATGGTGCTCTCGAATCAATATCAATGGATGGGGCACAGCTTCATAACTCACCAACCCATACGAGTTCACTTCAGGGGACACGGAGGTGGACTTCTCAGCAGCGACCAAGAATACAACATTTCTCTCCAAAATCATGCGCAGCCAAAAATGGAAGGCCCTTCACTGGCCATGGTGGATAACTGGAAGCACAAAACGATAAAGCCGGGGCGAACCAAATCCACTATGAGTGCTCAGTGTGTGTAAAATTTTATTTGTAATCCACGGTTGGTTTGCAGAAATCATGGTAATATTTATAATTTTTATGAAGATGGTAATTTTGTTCAAGCCAAAAAAGAAAAATAATATAGCTTTATCAGCAGGGCTAGCACTCACGAAGTTGCTAAACGGTGTTCAGTAGCAGTCGCTCACGAAGTCGCTGCTTTTTCCAGAGCCATTGCACAAGTAGATCGATCCCACCCACCTGGCGAAGGGGCATTTGACCCGGGGTGGCCACAAACGTATATACCTGGCAGGCGAAGCGAGGCAGGTGGCTTCAGTGAATTGCACATGAAACTGACACGGGCAGTTGTTTAAAACGTGCCGTTAGTCAGTGTGAAAAAAAAAACTTGCTCCCTCAAACGTTCTCACAGTGGTCATGTTCTTGGACCATGTGAGCTCTATTCAGGGTGATGATTGGGCACTCAGGGTCGATGTGCCACAGCGAACCATCCAGCGTCGGCTGCACCAGTACTGTGTCACCAAGCGGGCATGGAGCTTGGTGGTTGGCTATCAGGCTTCGAAGTCTATCGGTTCTTGCTTGCAGAAACCGAATTGTTTCGATTTGAGAGGCCAGCATAATCGCCATCACGTTGGCGTTGCGTCTTGTTTCTTCCAGTTCATTCGCAATCTCATTGCGGCGGCCAGCCACATCATAGCATTGACACCGAAGTCGGGGAATCAAATCCGCCTGTTCTGCACCTTCTCGTTGGAGTTGGTCCACGTGGGCATAGGCAAGGTCGATCGCCTGTTGCAGGCGCAGTCGCTCGTATCGAGCACCAAGCCAAAGTCCAAGGAGGAGGCAAAGGAGCATTACCGCCAAAATGGCGAAAAAACAAATTCCGGTCTGGCCATGTTCATGGTCCGGAGCTGCATGCATTGCTGAGGTCGTAGGCAACCAACCAGGTCAGCGCCGCGATGACATACTTTATCACCTTGGCATTCTTTGGGGTTGCTACGTAGGCCTCGACAGGCTCATAGGGCTCGGCATGAATGTCGTCATCCGCAGGTTCATAGGTCTCTTCATTCATGTCTTCATCTTCAGTCACGTAGAGCTCGGCAGAGTCCTCGGGGACCTGCAGCTCATAGTTTCCATCATCCATGCGTTCATGTTGAGGTTGTGATGTAGGTGAAGGTGAGGTGAGAGGTTGAAGGTGAGGTTGTTGTTGATTGGATTCCTTCCCTTTCGCAAACTCATTGCGGCTTGCTTCTCTTTCTGCAGCATCCTTGCGTTTTGCGCGAAGTTTGTCGGCCAGCAAGGTTCTGGTAGAACTCTTTGTCGGTCCATCAGCGAACTGCTTTTCGCTGCTCATCCATTTCAAAACACCACCCAAAGCTTGTAGTTGTTCTTTTCCAACGTCCTTTTGTCAACGGACGAAGAGCCAGTCAAACCTTCTTTGTTATAGCTGTCGTAGAGAGCTTTTGCATCAGTGATCATGACGGGCTCGAGGTCAGATCGTTGGTCCAGGCATTCTTTCAGCTTTGAAAGAGGGCTGAAAAGGCAAATCCAGTATCGGCATATGAATTCCACCATGTCAGCAGCTTGACCAAACGCTTGGGCTTCAGCGCTCAGACTTGATCTCGCAACTCTGGGGAGCTTGAAGCTGCGCCACTCGATCAAGTGGTAGGAGGTCTCTTCTTCAAAGATCTTCTTGGGCACGATGAAGATCAAGTAGCCACCTTGAGAAGTGGCATCTTCTCGGACTCCATGGGCAGCATCAAACATCGCACAGAGCCTCAGGTCGGCAAGCGAGTCAATGTCCAAGGGCTCGTAGTTGAGCTTGACATCAGAGTTTTGTTTTGCAAAACGCAGCAGTTGGTTGGCTTCAATGAGCCAAGAAGTGCTCGAAGTTGTGACCTGTCATGGTCGTTCATCTCATCTTCGGCCAGACGGCCTTTGTGTATGGTCACGGGGTCTCCAAGTTGCCCATGAGCGCGTCCACATCATTGAAACCACGCACGACAAGTCGTGCTTTTGCACGAGGGCTACCATCAGCATTGCGGCTACATTTCAAAAGAATCCTGCTTGTAAGTGTTCTCTCTGGAGTGGCTTCTTCTGCAGTGCTAAACTCCCAAACGCCACATTCAAAGAAGCTGCGAAGTTCTTTCACCTTCGCTTGGTGGAACATTTCTTTTTCGGTCTGGTTCAAGTACTTTTCCACCACTTCGCCCTTGTTCTTGGCCATCTTGGTGACATCTCGACGTTGTTGTCGTTGATGTTGGTTCTTGAGGCCTTGGGCGACCTTCTTTGCATTCTGAACGTTGTAGCAGTGGTTGCTGTCGCTGGAAAACATATTGAGCTCTTTTCTGGTTTCAGCATTGATTGGAAAAACTCTGATACCCTTCCATGTAGATGGCAGTTGATGCTGTCGCAGGTCTTTGTCATGATGCTGAGGATTTCTGAAATCATCAGTGAAGGTCTTGCGTCACGGTCAAAGTGAATGGTGACCCTGACGTTGTCAAGCTTGTCAAGTGGAACTGGGATGTCTGAGCTGCCAGCAGGGTCAAAGAGAGTGCGCCGTTGGTGACAGTGATATCGAAGGAGGCATCCAGCTTTCAACTCCCAGAAATCACATACTCGGGCACCTTTACGCAGCTCAAAGTAGCCAGTCTCAGGCTTGAAGCACCAGTCACCAGGCAGTGACTCTTGTTCCATGTCCTCCACATTGAAAGCTATGTTGGCAGCATCATCATCGCCACGTGCAGGACGATCATATGGAGTAGCTCCATGTGAGCCTTGAAATGGTGACCTGCGGGGTCCAAAAGACAAAGTTTCTTGGCGGTCCACTCGTGCCCGACGTTGCTTAAAAGTCTCTTGTTGTGGAACTTGAAATCTTTTAGCAGTTGCAGGGTCTAAAACTGACCAGCTGCTGGTTGGTGTTGGAGGAAAAACTTCTGCTGAGGGCTCCACTTCATCGGTGTTGCTGATGGGCAACGTTGGAGGTAGAGGAGGTTCATCAGCCATTGGAGCTGGTGGAGCATCTGAAGGTCCCATAAGTCCAGGGGACGGAGAAAGTCCATCATGTTGTCCCATAAGTCCAGGGGACGGGTGATGACCATCATCTGGAGGCTGACCATCATCATGAGGGTTGTCATCAGCAATTGATGGTTCGTAGTCATCATCACCTTCAGCTCCATCTTGAAGTTCAGCAAGTCGACGACGCTTGGCCTCAGGCACATAGTCATCGGCCTCGTGGTCGGAAATCATCTCTTCATCTTCATTGATGTCGGCAATGTGTTGACGATTCAAGCGGTTCAAGTCCAAGAACCTTGTCACACCACGAGACTTGACTTGTCGTAGAACTTCTTTGGCTTCAAGCAGATTGTCCACAACGTTGTTGGTGATCTGTCGGAAATCAGGGCGACAATGGTGAGGAGCACAACGCAAAAGTTGGGTCTTGTGGCAAATCCAGTAGGTTGAAGCGTTGCCTTGCTCATCATCCTCAACCATGAGAACCTTGGCTGGTCCTCGCCATCTGATTTTGACAAGATCTGCTTGTTGACGTCACGCCAGTAAAAACATGTCTGACCAACAGCAAGTCGTATGTTGGCGCCGGCATATCTTCTGAGGAGGGCACGGCGAAGTCGATGGTCAGTGTCAGCTTGTTGAAGGGCTGACTTGGCTGCATTACGACGCATCAAAGCATCTTCAAAGGAATGGCCTCCGGCTAAGCGCACAGGGGTGATCTGGTCTGAAGTCAAAAGTCCATTGACCTGTGGTTGATACCCCAAAAGCCATTGTGAAGGGCTGTAGCCGGAAACTGTGGGCTGAGCATTTTGTTGTGGCACTATGTAGGTCAAGGCAGACCTGATTCCATTAGCTCCATGAAGTTATAGACCTTGTATGTAGACCTCAATGCTCTTTCGTAGAACTGCATGTCGCCGTTCCACAAGACTCAGTCGTGTGTGAGCTTTTCCAGGAGCAACATCATGATGAATCGAGTGCTCATTAGTCCACAGTGCTATTGGGTCTGAAAGCCATCCCTTGCCTTCATCAGTGACAAGGGTTTCAGGTGGCCCAAAATGGGCGATTTAGCATCTTTCCAAACCAGCTATTAAGTTGGAGGTTTTTTTATCAGGCACCAAGGTTGCAGTTTAATTACGAAAGCCAGCTAGCTGGATCGTTGCTGTCTGCGAACAAAGTGAGTATAAGGGGGTCTGGGGGGAGGGCTTGCCCAAGTGGGCCAAAATCTCGCTATTACTTGGGGGGAAGGGTGTGTTTTGGGAGCGTTTTTCCGGGTCATGTACCATGCGGCAAAAGGGTGACGGTAGGGTATCGATTCCCCCTAGGTCCGCATTTTGGGGAGCCTTTTGGGGTGCTTGGCAGAGGAGCCGATGTCTGCGAGAAGGGGGAAGGAGTGCTAGCACAGATAGGAAAGGTAAGGGTAAAGGCGCCTTTTGCCACTGCTGTCGATGTTGGTGGAGGAAGGACAAAAGTCGCCCGGCTCGAGGGTCTTTGTCGGGCACTGTGATGTCAGATGGGAAGGTGTTTGTGTGAAGGAGGAAGGAGGGCTAGCGCATAATGCGAGGTTTGAAGGCGTAGACATAGCAGCTGTCACAAAAATTAACCACCAAAAGTACCGTGGAGGAGGTACATAATGGCCTGTGAAGCAGAATGTAGAGCATTCCTGACAATTCAGGCCGGGTTCGCTTATATATATATATATATTTTTACGAAAGCCGGCCGGGAAGCTGGCCAGTTGTTGTTTGCGAACGAAGTGAAAATAGGGGGTCTGGGGGGGGCTCTGGGTGAAAAGTATATGGGTGAAAAGTATATATGGGAAAAGTCTGTGGGTGAGAAGTATATGGTTGATCCGTCTTTGGGTGAGAAGTATATGGGTGAAAAGTATGTGCAAGAAGAGTTTCTGGGTGAAGAGTCCCTGGGTGAAAAGTCTGTGCAAGAAGATTTTCTGGGTGAAGAGTCTCTGGGTGAAAAGTTTATGGGTGAAAGGTATATGGGGGAAAAGTCTGTGAGTGAGAAATATAAGTTTGATCCGTCTGTGGGTGAAAAGTATATGAGTGAAAAGTATGTGCAAGAAGAGTTTCTGGGTGAAGAGTCTCTGGGTGAAAAGTATATGGGTGAAAAGTATGTGCGAGAAGAGTTTCTGGGTGAAGAGTCCCTGAATGAAAAAAATATGGGTGAAAAGTATATGCAAGAAGAATTTCTGGGTGAAAAGCCTGTGCGAGAAGAGTTCCTGGGTCAAAATTATGTGCAAGAAGAGTTTCTGGGTGAAGAGGCCCTGGGTGAAAAGTATATGGGTAAAAAGTATGTGCAAGAAGAGTTTCTGGGTGAAGAGTCTCTGGGTGAAAAGTCTGTGCAAGAAGAGTTTCTGGGTGAAGAGTCTCTGGGTGAAAAGTAAATGGGTGAAAAGTATGTGCAAGAAGAGTTTCTGGGTGAAGAGTCTCTGGGTGAAAAGTATGTGCAAGAAGGGTTTCTGGGTGAAGAGTCTCTGGGTGAAAAGTATATGGGTGAAAAGTCTGTGCGAGAAAAGTTTCTGGGTGAAGAGTCTCTGGGTGAAAAGTATATGGGTGAAAAGTACGTGCAAGAAGAGTTTCTGGGTGAAGAGTCTCTGGGTGAAAAGTATATGGGTGAAAAGTATCTGCAAGAAGAGTTTCTGGGTGAAGAGTCCTTGGGTGAAAAGTATGTGCAAGAAGAGTTTCTGGGGGAAGAGTCTCTGGGTGAAGAGCCCCTGGGTGAAAAGTATGTGCAAGAAGAGTTTCTGGGTGAAGAGTCTCTGGGTGAAAAGTATATGGGTGAAAAGTATGTGCAAGAAGAGTTTCTGGGTGAAGAGTCTCTGGGTGAAAAGTATATGGGTGAAAAGTAGGTCCAAGAAGAGTTTCTGGGTGAAGAGATTCTGGTTGAAAAGCCTGTGCAAGAAGAGTTTCTGGGTGAAGAGTCTCTGGGTGAAAAGTCTGTGCAAGAAGAGTTTCTGGGTCAAGAGTTCCTGGGTGAAAAGTATATGGGTGAAAAGTATCTGCAAGAAGAGTTTCTGGGTGAAGAGTCCTTGGGTGAAAAGTATGTGAAAGAAGAGTTTCTGGGTGAAGAGTTTCTGGGTGAAAAGTATCTGCAAGAAGAGTTTTTGGGTGAAGAGTCTCTGGGTGAAAAGTCTGTGCAAGAAGATTTTCTGGATGAAGAGTCCCTGGGTGAAAAGTTTATGGGTGAAAGGCATATGGGGGAAAAGTCTGTGGGTGAGAAATATATGGTTGATCCGTCTGTGGGTGAAAAGTTAATGAGTGAAAAGTATGTGTAAGAAGATTTTCTGGGTGAAGAGTCTCTGGGTGAAAAGTATATGGGTAAAAAGGACGTGCAAGAAGAGTTTCTGGGTGAAGAGTGTATGGGTGAAAAGCCTGTGCAAGAAGAGTTTCTGGGTGAAAAGTATATGGGTGAAAAGTATGTGTAAGAAGAGTTTCTGGGTGAAGAGTCTCTGGGTGAAAAGTATATGGGTGAAAAGTAGGTCCAAGAAGAGTTTCTGGGTGAAGAGTCTCTGGGTGAAAAGTCTGTGCAAGAAGAGTTTCTGGGTGAAGAGTCCCTGGGTGAAAAGTATATGGGTGAAAAGTATCTGCAAGAAGAGTTTCTGGGTGAAGAGTCCTTGAGTGAAAAGTATGTGCAAGAAGAGTTTCTGGGTGAAGAGTTTCTGGGTGAAAAGTATCTGCAAGAAGAGTTTTTGGGTGAGTCTCTGGGTGAAAAGTCTGTGCAAGAAGATTTTCTGGATGAAGAGTCCCTGGGTGAAAAGTTTATGGGTGAAAGGCATATGGGGGAAAAGTCTGTGGGTGAGAAATATATGGTTGATCCGTTTGTGGGTGAAAAGTTAATGAGTGAAAAGTATGTGTAAGAAGATTTTCTGGGTGAAGAGTCTCTGGGTGAAAAGTATATGGGTAAAAAGGACGTGCAAGAAGAGTTTCTGGGGAAGAGTTTCTGGGTGAAGAGTGTATGGGTGAAAAGCCTGTGCAAGAAGAGTTTCTGGGTGAAGAGTCCCTGGGTGATCAAAGCTTGAGTTTTCGCGCTGGGTTCAACCAAAGTCTGGAGCGGGTGACCTTGCCATCGAGTCTTCAAAGCCTGAGCTTTGGCATTCATTTTAACCAAAGCCTGGAGCGAGTGACCTTGCCATCGAATCTTCAAAGGTTGAGTTTTGGAGAGTATTTTAACCAAAGCCTGGAGCGGGTGACCTTGCCATCGAGTCTTCAAAGATTGAGTTTTGGAGATAGGTTCAACCAAAGCCTGGAGCGGGTGACCTTGCCATCGAGTCTTCAATCATTGAGTTTTGGCCATTGTTTCAACCAAAGCCTGGAGCGGGTGACCTTGCCATCGAGTCTTCAAAGCTTGAGTTTTGGCGAGTATTTCAACCGAAGCCTGGAGCGGGTGACATTGCCATCAAGTCTTCAAAGCTTGAGTTTTGGCTTTCATTTCAACCAAAGCCTGGAGCGGGTGACATTGCCATCGACTCTTCAAAGCCTGATTTTTGGCGAGTATTTCAACCAAAGCCTGGAGCGGGTGACCTTGCCATCGAGTCTTCAAAACTTGAGTTTCGGCAGGAATTTCGACCAAAGCCTGGAGCGGGTGACCTTGCCATCGAGTCTTCAAAGCTTGAGTTTTGGCTTTCATTTCAACCAAAGCCTGGAGAGCGTGACCTTGCCATCGAGTCTTCAAAGCTTGAGTTTTGGCTTTCATTTCGACCAAAGCCTGGAGCGGGTGACCTTGCCATCGAGTCTTCAAAGCTTGAGTTTTGGCTTTCATGTCAACCGAAGCCTGGAGCGGGTGACCTTGCCATCGAGTCTTCAAAGCTTTTGTGCTCCTCGTGGTGGTGATTTATCATGCAATATCTTTGTGAGTTCTGCAGGCTGTGCTTAGTTTCTTTGACGCCTTTCCCAGTAGCTGTCGAAGCAACAGAGGCGCGCGCTTTCCAATTAATTGAGCCCGGCCATTCTCGA